AGACCCATACTAGTCGATACAGCGCCAATGTACCCCATTATGAACCGTCGCTGGGCCTCCTTCATTACGTTAGGGTCTTTACAGCTGACCTCTGCACTAGCATTACGGTTAGCATAGTTGAATAAGGCATTATGACTTTGGTTGATGAACTGCCATACCGCAGTACCTGTAGTCGTAGTGGTCAGACGGTCTTCTATGAATGGTCCTACCCAATGTGGGGTTATTACGGAACCCAGCTAGTGTTAGCATCCCTATCACAGGTATTGATCCGAAAGATACGAAACCAGCCATACGCAGGGGTAATAGGATAGTCTATGTGATAGAGATACAATAATGGAAGGCGTTTTATGAGCATTACCTCACCAGTGTCAGGATGGACTGATGCCTGTACTATCCTCTTAGCTAGAACTCTATCCTTAGCTGTAATCACACTTGATTTACCATCTACTACGCTACGAGCCTCAGTAAGGGTCTGCAAGAAGGTAATATTGAGTACAGCACGAGTCATCCTCCTACCATGCCAAAGAATGTCCCTGGTGCCATGGTCCTTGGGTCCGTCAAAGACAGGAAATGTCTGTAGCGATCGATATATGACCCTACTGCACCACCAGTTGCGCTATTGGATGTCATGACAACTCAAATTCAACGGGATGTGATGATTGTCGAAGTGATCTTTTAAAGTAGCGCTCGCATTCGTGATCGATTGCAGAAAGGAGCAGAATTGATTTAAATACTTTCCCTTGCCCTTGTGCCATGACAACAATTAATCCGTCTAAGCTGGATTGGTATCAGACAGCTGATACCGTTACAATAACTATCAAGCTAAAAGGGGTTGATCCAAGTACTGGTGTAGATGTTGCGGAGTTTAGTGAGAGGTAGTGGGAGCCACCAGAGGCAGAGAAGTTAATTCCCTTCTTATACAGGTCAGTGAGGGTAGGCATCAATCATGAGAATAAAGGGAGGTAATGCACGATATGTAGCAGCTATGATGTAGTAACTCTTCAGTATTGAACACTACCTACTACAGTTGGACCTATGGGGCTCCATAAAGGGTGATAAGGCAACATACGAGGTAACACCATATAAGGTGGTGTTATATCTACCTAAAGATGACCAACAACAACAATGGTATTATGACCACTGTGGGTGCCATCTTCAACACTCACTAACCCAGGCCTTCCCTTCAATATGATAAGGGCTCTAACTGTCCTCGTATAGTGTCGACTACTTCGTCATCATCATCAACAACAACAGTGCCTGCTCCTAAGGCGGATAGCACTAGTAGTAGCTATCCCTCCTCATCTAAAGTAGTACTCACTAACAGCTGTTAGCTACAGCTTAGTATGGTTGAGTAGGTGCATCGGGACTGGTCAGCTATAGACAAGATGTGTGAGGAGGAGCTCAAGGGGGAGAAGGAGAATGGCGATGTAGTGATTTAATCAGCAACTCTTCGATCCTTGGTCTATAGGCTGCATTGAATGCATTATTCCGTCAAATATACGCCGGTGCTGATGATAATACTAGACGGGCCATGGTGAAGAGCTTTCAGACGTCTGGAGGTGGGATGTGCTCGTCCCTCCTCCCCTTTACCCCTCCTACTAGGTACTGTACTGTCAACCAACTGGGATGAGGTGGTAAGGCTGATATGAAGGGAAGGACAGGTACTAGAGATGGACACGTATCCAATATGTATTCCATATTCAGACCGGATGCCCCGGATGGTCAAGAGTGGCGAAAGTGGTAGTAGCCTGATGACATCTCCTATACGGACTGATTAATATTTCATCTTCGTGTGTGCAAATTATTCTTCTGAGCCTCGTAAGCCTTTCGTTGTGCTCACAACTGGACGATGACTGTCAGTTTTCCAATAGTCGTTGGTGATGATGATAAATCACCAATCTTATCCAATGCGCCCCCTGCCACGGTTACGAACTCTACTGTTCATCACCCTACTCTGCTTCCAACTGTCCCAGGGTGTCTATGTGGATATCCGTCATCTTGATGATGAAGCTACTGCTGCTGTACCCAGTCCTACTTCAGAACATAAACGTCATGGATATCACAGGTCTGAGCTCATCGGTGCTTGGATAGTCATGACAGTAGTACCCCTAGCATGCATAGTCTTCTTCTGTGCTACAGCCCCTCGAGTTAGACAACGAGAGCTACTCTTCAAGTTGTTCCATAGAGATGGAGTGTACACTCAACCTTCGATGGTTGAGATGGAGGACTTGGAGGCTGGTCCTACTACGCAGGGCCCCCCGAGGCAGAGTAGTTGGTGGGATAGGTTGTGGGGTCGGTCGAGGGCAGCAGCACAAGCCGGTACTGGTATGGCAGCGACGGTTATAGGGAAAGCTAAACCTGTGATAAAGACAGCAGCGAGGAAGATAGATCGGAGTAGAGTTGGTCGGCATCATAGAAAGCAGCGTCAACGTGGGTTTAGGCAACTCGATCATGCTCTGGATGATGATGACTATGTTAAATATAGTGTCTATGCTGATGAGGAGGATGAAGCCACTTTTGGTGGTTTGGACGGTCCATCCTCTCTATCATCTTGGTCATCATCCTCGTGGACTTCATCACCGAGCAACTCCCCTCGGGATGGATCACCACAATTATCATCATCGTCACCACCCACAGTGATTGTGGAGCCTCCGGCTATGGATCTTATTGGATATTATGATTATCAGGCGCAGGATGGGCAAATACATCAACAGTTCAGAGAGGAGGTCATACTCACCACAATAGAGGGTGTACAGGGAACAAGTGAGGAGGAGACCACAGTAAGGAGGGTATCTTTCCATGAAACTCCACCAATGGAGGAAGAGGAGGGTCCACAGATCACTGAGGTTACTGATGATAACAAAGACCCCTCCAATTGTGATACCGCTACAATGACAGTGGAAGAGCCACCTGATGAGTCGCCAACGAGAGTGAAAGCATCGTCAGCATTTAGTGAGAGCAGTCGTAGAACTTCGGAGGTCATTTCGTCGGATGATGAAGGGAGGTACATGTCAGCTACCGAGAGTAATTGCTATCAGTCTTGCTCTGATGGATCGAGTTCTGATGATGAAGAAGAAGACGATGAGGAAGGGGTTGTCGAGGCAGGGGATTCTTCATTCACTACTGAGACCAGTGATGTTATCACAGGAGGAGCTAGTAATACCAGTAGTAATGATGATGATCGTCATCATGGGACAACTGACCATGACACTTGAGTCTACCCTCTTACGTCGCTTAGTGTCTTATAATAACTTATGTACACTTACCATATTTTCTCTCATCAGTCTTGCTTGTTCCGTTATAGTATTGCTAGTCACCAGTGGGTATACATTCACAACGACATGATGCCACGTTACTGCCCTCCTAGTGAGTACTTTAGTCATCCAAGTGAACATAAGCTGGAAGGGCTCAGCAATGATGGAGCTCCACTCTTCCTATAGTCAGCACCCCACTAGAGGAAGCACTGCATTTCTCCTACTCCTATCAGTCCTGCAATCATGCACAACAACTTGACTATAGCGTCTCTCAAGGGGGAGGGTCATCAGGCATGCAGAGTAGCTTATGTTGCCGATGATGGACATCATGTCGTAGGGGTCGTAGGATGCTCATCCAGCTGGGTGCAATTACCGTCTTAGCATCTCCTAGAGTCGTCCCCGTCCTCGATTCGCCTGGCTGGTAGTACAACACTAAAGGGTAGAGTGAGTAGTATAAAGTATGCCTCACTACAATAGCAGTAGTATGCCACCGGTAGTAGGTATCATACGCTCCATCCTGCTATCACAGTCCTAGTCGTCACATCAACACAGGGTCGGTGATGGTGCTACTAAGGGCTAGTATCGGATGTCTAGGTGCATATGTCTACTCTCCTGATCTTCGAAAGACTGTCATCCATCTCCCACCTCCCCAGATTGATAGGCTTAATAATGAGGTAGTACTACCCGCCAGTATTGCTGTGCTGCCTCCACCGTCATCAGGTCTACTTCACAGCATCTACAGTCGTTCCCGTCGTCAACGATGATCCCTTCAGGAACAGTGATGAAGGCCGCCTCATACTTGGGGTTAGTGATGGCTCGTGCATGGTCGGAGGTACTTATCCTCTTCCCGACTACCACTGCCCTCTATAGGTTATACCATTTAAAGCTGGTAGCCTAGGAGAGGCTTCTGCAGGGCTACAGCTAGTGCCTAGTGTCAGCACCCCAATAGGGGTATGTGCTATGTGTTCGATGGAGGTTGTAGACGCACAATACTCGACCATGTGCGTGGTTGGTTATACTGATGGATCCCTGCGTGCCTGGAGGCCTTCAACCTTCACACAGGTATCCTCATCTCAGATCACGGCAAGCGGATGCCTCTGTCAGGTGGTAGCCATCAATCCCTGTAAGGAGTCCGAAGCCCCGGTGATAAGGTGCTGTCTTGCTGCTCTCCCTCTCAACCGACATCGTGTCAGCTGTGAATCCCCTACCCCCAATTGCATAGTTGCTGCTTACAGTGATGGTAAACTTCGAGTATTCGATGCTGCAGTGGATTGGCAGTTGAGGGTAACCCTAATAGGGCAGTAACCAACTCTGCAGTAGCACACTTCAGTTTGAGATATCAGCGCATGGTCGACCAATCACGGGTATGGCTGTTGATAAGAAGAAGGTAGTGGTAGCAGAGATTGGAGGTCATCACCCTCCTGCCCTCAGCATCTAGTGGCGACAGTTTCTGAGGATACTGTACTGAACCTTTGGAAGATTGATCATCAAGACGATGAGGAGAACTCCTTCGAGGTAGGAGCGCTTCAATATCAGTAAGTTGCCAACCCATATCACAAGATACCTCAGCTCATTGGCTCAAGGCAAGTCACTCCGAGGTTGTTGACAGGAGTATGCTTTAACGATGGATTCCTCTCTCCGACTGACGAGGAAGGTCTATTGATCTTAGCATATGACTCTGATATGCTTTATTCGATGGTATGAATACATGTCACTGCCGTTATCACATTCCACCACTGTTGTTTCGTTGTTCGAGTTTTAACACGGGTAATAACGAGCATAACACAATGACGAATTCTTCCGGACTGATAAATGAACAATGTATTATATTGTAATGTACCCCGTTAATCTATGGGATATGAACTCGGCTTTAACAGCGGATTGAGCGTCACCACGTTAATGATTTTGGTCATGATAACCGGTGTTCATCTCGGTTACTTACGAGGGATGGCGTGTGCAGTTTTAAAGGGTCTTGCTTATCAATATCTGTTCTTCCTACATTAACTCAACAAAGATGGGTTAACGAGACTGTTACTAATTCTTCTACCATCAAGGATATACAATAACCTCCTCATGGTGCTGAAATACCTCGAAGCTCATCATCATTCCGTGCACGTTAATCAGAGTATACGGGTGATGGTGAGCAGACACGAATGGTAATACAGTCTTTTGTAACACCATCTGGTCACGGTGGATATACTATTTGGATTAAAACAAATTAGTCTTCTTCATAATACGAAGGAACTCCTCTTCACTCACTTCTCCATCACCATCACGGTCTGCCTCATC